ACGAGTGACAAAGAAGTTCAATATCTCTTTCATTCACGGCAGCGATGCTACTGCTGCAATAAAGCAAACAGTATGATAGCAGTCTGAAATTACTTGCGGGTAATTGTAATACGCAAATTTTGCAGGTGGTCGTGAATTCGAGCAATGAAATTGTCGGCTATGGGACAGGGCGCTTATTTTCAATATGGGATAGTGCAGGATTTTCTCCAGTGTACGGCGACAGCGTACTCGTCTTTCTGGCTTTATTTGGCGCCTTAGCCGAGCATTTCAAAGAACAAATCCAGCGAAAAAATGTAGTAGACTTACGTGTACCAAGTATCCACTTAAAGGCAGTTCGGTCTGTCTTGCAAGGAATAGCCGATGTCAAAGAAGTTCGTTCTTCTTGTATTTCGCCGATTGCACTAGAACAGCCTGATCCTATCCTGACATCTTGTTGCCATCCTGAACTGATGATTCCTTAGATCCCGTTAAAAAATTAGTACTTATTCTTTGGCAGTTGTTTACAAAATATGTAACGCGGCATTTGTTTATTTGCTCAGATTTTATGAGGGTTGATATTGCGATTCTGGCGTGCACTTGGCCGGGAAATCCACAAGCAAAATTTTAGCGCCGGAACTCGCTTGGGTACCGAGTTTAAATACCCGAACAGGCGCACACAATAACATACACACGTATAGACATATACACACTCGCACACTGCAGTCGTCACAGCAAGCGTATATGCAAAAACGCATAGTGAGGGTTGGTGAAGGCCGATATCGCGCTTTCAGATATGTCAAAGCGACTTCGTCAATCGTTTAAGCCTAGAAGCTGAAATTAGAAAATATTCAATGCTAACATACAATCTAAAAATTTCAAATTCAGCTTTAAGACAAGCACGCAAGTGAAAGTTAGCATGGGTTACTGTTGGTACTCAGTGAGTCCGGTAGCCAGAGTTGGCGGGAAGCAGCATTTACCTACGAAAGTTCGCTGTTAATGTTTGGGTTATCAGGAGTAAGGTGGGGTTCTGTCAAGGAACGAATCTTGCGCATAGATGCATCAAACGTTCAAACTGCAGCACTTCACCCTCAAAAATACAAGTCATCACTTTACGGGATGGTTACAAAAATGTATTATCGTATCGGCAAGCCTCGGTCAACAAATAAGTGTTGAGCAAAAACGCTGATATGTGAATACGCTTGTTTTTCTTGATTTTCAGAAGCCTGAAGGTGAGTGGGCTAATTCTAAGAGTCATTTAGGTTCCGCACTGATAGCAAGTGCAACTTTAGTGATATC